TATTATTAAACTATATAGAAAATAATATTAACCTAACCCACCATAAGAACAATTTATTTACAAATTTTTATGTTTTGATTCTTTTGAATTGAATTAATACTCTAATTTTGAATTATGGGATTCATTTTATTTAACTAAATGAAATGTAATAATATTTTTAATAATAAATAAAATAAAAATAATAATTAGCAGACCATTATTAATTAACACGATTACTGATGTTTATATTTTCATGTTTGTGGTGATTATTTTCAATAATAATAACAATGAATATAATGATATAAACAACTTAAGCTTTTTTATTCGGGTGTGAAAGAATAAAAAAATAAAAATTATTGTCATGCCTTATAATTACCATTTTAAAATGTATCAGTTAAGCATGGTAACTATATAGTTTTGATATGGTTAATTGAAATATTTTTATCGATTATCAACTTAGAGTAGTCAATTAATTGTAAATTAGTATTATTTTTTTATTTGGTTCTCTTCATCATTGTTATTACTATAAAAGTCGTTGAAGAAGTTGTATTATAATAGTAATAATTTATGTTGAACTTTTGATTTATAGTCGGGTTTTACAACATTAATAAAAATTGTTTCGACTGGTTTAATTATTTTTAAATTTGAACTTATCAATAAACATACTAAAACACACACAACAATATGAAATACAAACATGGTGTGTTGTCTATTACTTTATTGAAAAATTCCTTTAAATTGAAATGTTTTTGAGACGATATCTTTTTTTATTTCAAAAAAGTGTATTAAAATATCAATTAACAAAATCATATTTTTTATTGTTTAATTATTTTTGTTTTACTTACTTTGTTGAGTGTTTTAAAATTGCTGTTTATAAGTTACACTAATCATTATTTGTTGGTGCGCAATTAACAAAATTACTTGTCGAGCATAATTTTTATCAAAGTAATAATTGAATTAATTTGAACAATTAATTATTTAATTTTGTTGTGTTTTATTCAAAAAATGTGAAAAGGTAATCTTATCATTATATTGAAGTTTATAACAATTATTGTTCCAACATTAAATTCACAAATATTTATTGTATTCACTGATAACTTTATTGTGATTTACATTGTGTTTATTTTATTATTGATGGAGATTCGGGCACTTTTAATTCATTATATTATTGCATTTCTTTAATTATTTTGTTTCGAACAATACTTTAGGTAACTATTTAAAACAAAACACTTTATACTTATTTAAAAACATTGTAGAATAAAAAAGTCGCAATATGATTACATTTTGATGGTTGATACTATTACAAATACTTCTTCAAATTATAATCAAATATTAAATTCAATGTTTATTATAATTTTAATGAGAGTAACATGTTTCGAAAAATAACACTTTTGACATTTTTATGTTTTATTAATCATATATTTCTACTTTTTGTTTATTCATTTTCTAATTTCTTTTGTGGAAAACTTTAAATTAATTACTTTATCATTTAATTAACCTTTTATGCTTTACTTTTGTTCTTTTATTTGAAAAAACATATGAATCAACAATCACATAGTTTTTGTGTATTTTTTGTTAAACAAATGCTCTTCCATGATTCGTGTACTTACTGTGTTTAAACGGTAACAATCAATTGATTTTGAAAAGTTTGGTCTTTAACTTCATTGAAATTACTGAAATACAAGAAAAAGAAAAAAACGTATGGCAATTGTGATAATTATGTGAAAACATTTTATTAATTGATTTTTACAAAATCAATTTGTTTTCTCTGTACAATTATTTATCATTCAAATTAAAATTGTTTTAAAACAGAATAAGAACATTAGCAACATTATATATAATATAAACAAGATGTGTGTATTATGTAAACTTTAACTATATTAAATTTGTATTATATTCAACTCAACTATTAAGTATTTTTCCAAATAATTATCTATAAACAAACCAAATTCTTTGACTTTTTATTTTTGTCTATTTTACTCGCCATTTTAAATTACATGAATGTTGCTGTTTTCTGTTCACAATTATCATTAATTATTTGAAAAATCTCGTTTTTTATACATAAATTGATAAACTTGATTTTAAAGACTAGTCTTTATCAGTTTAATGAATAATTTGAATTGATAATTTTATATGTGTATATTGTTTATGAGTTTAGATCAAATGCTATTGATTTGAATAGATAAACTAAATGTTGAAATAACGTTTATAATAATAAAACCATTACACTTTATTTACAAACAATCATAAATACTCCAACCACTTTAATAAATTTCTTAATGTTTTATGTTTATTTAAAACATAGATCTAAATCCTGTTGTTTTTATTGAGTATTTTGATTGTATCTGATTAAATTATCTCAAAATGATGATGGTGGACTTTTATAAATTATCAACACTATCCTTTTTCATTAATTTTGTTGTTGAAAAAATACTTATTCAATGAATACTCTATAATATCTGATTCTTCTTCAATCTATATACTTATTATAATTTATTATATTACCACTCTTAACTGTATTATCCACATTAAGAATATACTAAATGTATAAATTTAACACTTCAATGTTGATTATATGTCTAATTGTCTATTGATATTTCACTTTTTTATTTATTTGTTTTAATATATTTCTTTTGTGGACTGCTTTCTATTTACCACTTTATCATTTAAATATCATCTTATGCGTTATTTCTGTTCTTTCATTTGAAAATAAGTGAATCAACGATCACATTGTCTTTTGGTCAACTTAATTACATGAAAAAATAGTATTTATTTTTGTTCAATATTTATTATATTTCAATTATTATTTAATTAAAAAATAAGTTATACACATAAAACTTCTTGTTTTTTGTTGTTGCAAATATGTTTAATATTTTTATAATATTATTTTAATAACAAACTTATCCACTAAAAAGATATAAATAGTTTTTTATTTTCTCTAAAGGTTTTATTTTTACATTCGGCATTTTGGACAAAATAATAACCAAAAAGTGAAAGATTTGTAATATTTTTTGTAACATTTATTATTTTACAAAAACACCTCCAATTTTAGATTATTTACTTTGAGAAAAATAAGTTGGTAAAGGGAAATGCACTTTTGGGCAAAAAAGCTTGAAAAAAGACTGGGTTTTTAAAAAATGCAAAAGCTACGGAGTATGTTCATAGTGTGGCATTTTGGTACTTTTTTACTCAAAAATAATCGGCAAATACAGATACAGGAAAAACCAGGGACCAAATCATAAACCAGGCACCAGACTAAATTAAGCCGTTTTATTTTTGGTATATAATTAACTTGTTAAGGAAAAATCCCCAAATAATCAGGTTTTTGGAGGATATGTTGGTTTATTTTCAAAAACCAGGGACCAACTATTAATAGACACACTGTTTTTTTAAATAAAATAGAAAAAACTATAAAATATGAAACTCTTAATTAATTATTTGAAGTTGCCTCTATTGTTAATGCTTAGCCGAGCCAAAGTAATGTTTGTTCTTTGTATTAATTTATCTTCCGTTGTCTAATACGTTTAATAATTATCAAACAATTACTAGATATCTGTCATACCAATAATTTGTTTATTCTTTACTTTATTTTCATTTATTGCGTGAGTCACTTTTAATGCTGAACGAAAAGTGACTCATTGAATCAACCTAGTCTTCTCTATTCTACTTATTAAATTAAGAAGACTACAACATTTTCTTTGAAAAATGAATGAACGATTTAATTGAATGGTTGTGTTGAAGTCAAACAAGGTTGAACAAAAGAATAATATTTTATAATTAAACAATAATAAATAATAATAAACTTACTATTTTAGCTCACATAAAGCTTTTGTTCATTCATACTTTATACAACACATTCATTTTTTATCCCGAAAAATAACCGTTTTTAAACCCAAATAATAAGAAAATTACACGTATATCTATATATTTGCCCGTTTTATTGTATAAAATCCGCTTAATATTCAATAGCTTTAATTAGTCTGGTCCCTTGTTTTTCCTGTGGTCCTTGTTATTTCTGCTATCTCTATATGTTTATAACTCCCCAAATATTCTGTAATTAATATATATAAAGAAACTAAATTTTTAAATTGTTACCATTCTATATTTATAATTATATAAAGTACTTAATGAATAAATAACAATTAAACAATAATTTTATTTATTTGATATATAATTAGTGTGTATTTTAGGTAAAGTCTGATTTCTAATTAACAATATTCCAAAAATACAACAAGGAAATTTACTATATCAGTTTTTTATATTATAATATATAGTATCGACCATCGCTAATTAAAAACCATAAATACATAGTAAATTTCTTATTATTTTTTACCATTTGACATTCTCAAAGAAACGCTGGTTGTCAATCTATCTTTGCTTTTCAAAACAATTGGTATGACCTATTAACCACACTACAACAATGACACTCATTTGGTTAACTATCGTAAGTGGTGTGCTGGCTTATTTGACATTACTCGAGAATTCGTCAAAGAGGAATTACAAACTCCACATTTCTTGCTTTTTTGGATGTATAATTTGGTTAAAAAGTAAATAATTTTAAAAATAAAACAAAAAAAAATATTTTTTCGAAAAAAAGCTATTGATTATATATAAAAAACTTAATGTAAACTGTTTTTCAAAAGTCGGTACTTTCGATTTTTTGTTTTTTATTTTTTTAGGAAAAAACAAAAATAAAAAACGGGACTTTAGACAGTTCTAAAAATATGAGGTACAGACTTTTGAAAAACAGTTTATAATTATTTTTTTCATCGTTAATTAAAAATCCGACTTTATATATATTACATCAATTGACACATTTCCAAAATAATTATAGCCGAAAGTGGTATTATAACGTCAAATTTTGTATATTATAATCAACATATTGGTTATAAAATATTGACGCAGGTAATTAAAATAAAGATTTAAAGAGCCTCTGATCAATTACATCATAAATTACCGAATTTATTTTTTTATTTGTATATACAGTAGGGGGGGGTGAAAGGCTTGATTTATACTTTTAATGGTTTATGTACTATATTTAAATAAAACTATTTTTAATGTTCTATTTAAAAACACAACCTTGACTTATAAGTTATAGTTAATAAACCATAAAAGTATTGGTTCATCCTAAGCATAAAATCAGAAATTGAAATTGTATTCGAATGGACTTGGGTGTTTGTTAGTTTTTTCTCGATAAAGTCATCCGTAGGCGTCAGTCTTCTTGTTTGATATGGTTCTTGTTGTTGGTTCAGCTCTTGGATATTCCAAGGCAAACTTTCCTCTTTGGATTTGACCAAATATGTTGGTCTAGGCGGAAGAACAAACAATTCCAAGTGTTCTCTGATATAAACACTGTTGGCTTCCAGTAACAACCTGTAAGCCTCTTCGATAAAATAAACATTCTCTTGATCTTTACAGTATTGACTCCAACAACACCAGAACGGTTATATGATGCAGCAATGATGTTTTTGCTTTGCTCTATAATGCTCCCAACACTTTTTTGGTATTACGAGCAATGGAAACATAAATATGCTCTCTCGGCCCCCTTGTTCTCTTAGAACTTGTCGTGATCTGCCACCACTATCACCATGTTCTCTCATTTAAAAATCAATTCAATTTGAACCTCGCCGTCTTCAGTTACTGCGAAATTGGCGTCAATTGATTTTTAATTGTCAGAGTATTCAGTAATTTAGTGTTTTAACAACTCTAAATACACAAGCCAAATGGCGAGAAGAATTGGCTCGTGTAAAAAACAACTTGTTTATTATTGCTAAAGGAAATCCTTTGTAGAAAGAAGTTGTATTTGTGCTGTCGTAGAAACATAAATAATTAAAACTTCGTGAATTAATTCTTGGTTATTTCAAACAATAAAAATAAGCCATTCAATTTTCTTCATAACATTGAAAGTTGTTAACCTTTACTTTTCAAAAAAAACGTTTAATTTCATTTTGATAAGCTAAGAATCTTTTTTTGACATTTTTTATAAATTATTTATAGTTTTTGTTATTTTTTAAATAGAACCGGGAAAACTCTGTATAGTAAAAAAGATAATAAAACAATTGGTCAAGCCCCTCACTCCCCCTACTGTAAGTTTGTAATATAAAAATATAATAAAAATTTTTATATTTTTTGAATTATTAATTTAAAATGGTGTTCTTTAAAATTCAAAATGTTTAAATACATTAAAAAGCGTTTATATTTATTGAAATGTGTGAATTGTAATAAAAAAGACTTGTTTAAGATCCTAAATATTTTTTCAGATTTTGTCTGTACTTTTTAATTTCTTCTGTTTCCTGTTGTTCGTTTCTTGTCAAATTGACAACAATTTGTCCCGGGTCTTGAATTCCATTTTTGTCCAATACAACCAATTTGATTTTCCCTATTGCATCAACTTCAAACTTGAAGGTGATTTTATCCCAAAAATTGAACCTCAGAGTAGTTTCGAATATTCCAATCAAACTTCTGTCTTCTGTAAGTATGACTGAAACAGTTGGTGTGATTGTTGAGACACTGAAAGTAACATTTTCAACTGGAAGGGGTGTTCCTTTATTGATCAAAGTAACTAATATATTTCCTGTTTTATGTTTGTGGTCATCAACTAATGTCAACAATGTATTCACATCTCTTGCTGTTATTTGTGTGATATGATTTTTGACTGTTTGTGAAGCAACGTCTCGTGCATACAAACAAGCGCCTTTTGCGATAACCAAATTAATGTCTTCACACTCTAACAATGGTCTATCGGGAAACACTCTTCTTAACATTTTTTTCACTTCAGGTATTTGAGAACTTCCACCAATTAATACAACTCTTTTTATTGTTGAAGCTTGTACCTTATCCTTTTCAAGTGTTTCTTTTATTGTTTCCTCGCACCTCTTAAAAACTGACAAACAACACTCTTCCAAAATATCACGAGTAATTAATATTGAAAATTCGCTGCGGAATTCAGTGAATTCCAGTGAAACATTTTCTTTGACAGACAACTCGATCTTTGCATTTTCAATCAAATTCTTGAGTGATTGCCTTCAATATACTTTTTTCTTTTGTATTGTTGTGCTATCACCATTTTGCACTTTAAATAAGTTGTTTACCTCATTTTCATTGTATTCCTTCCACTCATTCATGACATAATCCAGAAGTGCAATATCGATGTCAATACCACCAAGGTTTTTATCGCCATGAATACCACAGAATTTAATATGACTGCCTTTTTTCTCGCCAACAGCAGTGTCTAAAGTTCCTCCTCCAAAGTCAAAGAAAAAGATCATTCCGTTTGGTAAATTGTTTAAAGAATAATTATATGCAGCTGCTGTGGGTTCTGATATTAATCCAATGACATCAAGGTCTGCTATTTTTGCTGCTTCTTCGGTTAAGTCCCTTTGTTTTTGATCAAAAAAGACGGGGTGTGTCACAACAACTTTCATCGACTGTCTTTGAGGGTCGAAATCCACATTTTCAATAACTTGCTTTTTGACGTGACTTAATATGATTGCAGAAATTTCAACGGGGCGGACTGGTGTTGGGCGACCTTGGAAAGTTGTATTAAAATAACAAAATCCATCAATGTCTTCTAAAATGTCTGCGTAATTTGATTTGATGTTAACAATTGAATCATCTTTAAAAGCAACACCTAAAATACGTTTAACTTCTTTTATGCTAGTAATTGATTCGGTTGCTACTTTAACTGGATAACTATTGAAATCAACAGTTGAACGAACGGATTGTTCGTTGGACGAAAAGGTCAAAGTTTTGACACATTGAGACACACTGGAATAATAAGCAGCTTTGGTATATGTTGTGCCAAGATCAATACCAACATATATAATTTCTTTTGCCATTCTGATTATTATTTGATTATTATTGTTTTTATATTAAAATTGGAATGATTATTAGTTCAATAGTATAATTAAATTATAAAAGTGCGGTATATTTAATGAAGTTTTTATTTAAAATGATCTTTATTTTCTTTAAAAAAATTCATTTAAATAATTATTTTTTAATAAAAATATATTTTTATAATTTTGACTGATTTCAAAAAGTTTGAATTTGTGTTTCGTTTTTGTATACGAGAATAATATAACGTAATTTTTAAAATACGGTCTGGACTTTAATTATTTTAAAATGTTGTTTAAGTAAGATTATAAATATAAAATTTAAACTTTGGGAAGTTAACAAATCAGTAAGTACAAACTTTTAATCCACAGTTTAGATTTACTAAAGTTACCCTATTTGTGTATTTCAATTACTGTACTGAAATAAAACGAACTAATTTAACCAAAAATCACCACGGAAAGCATTTAAGCACAACCTTTGTGCTCCAAATTAATTTTGTTGTGGAATATTAGCGACTAAATCTGATTTGATTTAGTCGATGTGACAATGCAGTTATATATTCAATATTTTTTTACATCATCACAATTTATGTGTGCAACAATTTCTATTTTTGACATCACAAAACACTTTTTGTACATTTTTAAAACGAAGTATTCAGTCTGATTTCCAACAGTCATTACAAGATTTTTGCATTTTTCAAAATTTGCTCATTTATACATTTTAACTATTTGGTAAGGTATATTATTAATGTTTTTTATAATTAAGTATTCGATTTGTTTTTCAATCAAACACCCTTTTCAACCAAATTATAAATAAGCCAAATGTAAGTCTGTTTGAAAATGTTGTTTATTTGACAAAATTTTTTAAATAATAAGTTATTAAAAATTGGAATTAGGGAAAAATGTTAAAATCAGGGTAAAAATTATGAAACAGTGTTTTGGAGTGTTTCAAATCGTTTCGCCAAATATTCCAGTTTTGAGGTTTAATAATGCCATACAACGTTGGAAAGCGGACAATGTTTTATGACTGACTTTAATTTAAATTCATCACAAAGAATGTAAGTTTTGTTTTTTGTATAAAATAAAAAATAATTATATATATATAATATAGTTAATGGTTAATATTATAAAGAAAATATTTCAATCTTTAAATGTTATATGGGCAATTATTTATACTCACCATCGCCTGCTGTTCATCTTTTTATTACTGGTCTTGATGCAGCAGGTAAGACTACAATTATCTACAAATTTTGTCAAATGAAAAACATACAATTTGAAGTTAAAAACCAATATAATTCATTCATGTGTTTCGAACATATTAATTTTAAAAATTACGAAACCATTACTTTAGATTTGGGTGGTAACATGCGACCAGAGCCTTTCATTACCAAAAATGTTGTTGGATGTAATGTTCTGATGTATGTTATAGATATTTCTGATGTCTACCGTCGACAAGAAGCCAAAGACGAAATGTTCAGATTTCTTCAAGTCTCTGAAACTCGTGGTATCCCACTGATCATAATTTTCTCAAAAGTTGATTTGCCTTACAACATGACTGAAACTGAATTTATAAAATTTTTCGAGCTTGACAAAATAAAAGAACGAAAGTGGACTTTTATAATGATGAGTGCTTACACAGAAATGGGCTTGTTAGAGGGGTTTAAATGGGTCGAATCAAAAGCTAAATTAATTTTTTAATACGAAAGGGGTTGAATTATTTATGTTCTAAAAATATTATTTTTTTATTTGAAAACGTTCGTTATAATCATCAACTGTTTTTAGTTTAGCTTTTTTTAAAATTCGGGTGTAAAAAATAAGTTAAAAATTTGACATTGGTAATAGTTTTTGTGCTAATAAGGCTAACAAAATAACTTAAACCATGGTAAGACAAATCATTGAAATTCAAGTATTAAATCCCAAAACTGTAGTCTTTTTTTAAGACTAAAACAATTTGAAGAAAAGTTCTATAAAAAATTGACAAATATTACAATTATTACTTTTTCAAAATTTTTTAAAAAAACAACAAAAAATGGTGGACAATACACTAATTTGTCTGTAAAAGAGAGATCAATATTACAATTATTGACTATAAATTTTAAATATTTTACATCGAAAATTTCAAAATTATCAAAATTTACAATATTTGTGTTAAAAAACAAGTATAATAATAATAATAAAAAATATAATACATTCATTTTTAGTATTTTTATAGAAATTGATTGTTTTCAAATTAAAAAATATTTTTAAATATAATAAATTAGCATTGTTATATTCCTAAATAAACGGGATTATTTTTCATATGTTTTGACAAAAAGTAACAAAGTAAAATAAGCGTTTTTGCAAATGGAATTTATCGACAGAATAGTTGTTGTATAATATAATAAAACTATTTTTTTAACAGCAAAAAACCGAACAAAAATATCAAATCATGAAATTAGTGTTTTTTAAGTTTAATTATAATATTATTAAAGAAAACTATAAAACATAACAATAAAAATAAATAATATCAAGAAATTGTAACATAAAATCATTAAAAAGCTTTTAGAAGCATTTTAAAAAGTTTTTGTTTATAGTCAGCGAAAAAACCACTTGTGGAATAAAACCACTTGAAAAAATAAATGGTTCTTTTTTAATAGAATTATAATTTTATATATAGTTTAAGTTTTTGAATAATTTCTATTTTAATAGTCAATTTAACTTAAAAATAGAAAGACCACTTTCCTTTAACCTTTTTATTGTGCCTTTTGACTTTGTTTGTTTTTAAAATATTTTTTTTGGTAATATGAAATGGTTGTTTGCCGAGGCTATAAAGAGACTTAATAAAAAATTAAAAAAACGAAATATTTCTAAAAATAAAAAATTAAAACTATCCAAACGACAGTTGTTTTTAAGCTTCATTTTGGTGATATTTTGTTTTTAAAAAATGTTATTTAACAAAAAAAAACAAAAAGTTAAGACTCAAACCCATGACTGAACCTTTGTTCAACACCCCCTTTTGTGATTTTTTTCTTTTTTAGTCCGATTTATTGGGTTCATAATTTGAATACACCTTGTTGGCAATGTAACACCACCGAACAAAGTCACAATTAATACGTTTTTAAAATTGTTTTATAACGCTCAATAATATATTTTTCACTATTATAATCACTGCACCTTTATTACATCCCCCCTCTTAACCAATACCTCAATTTTTCAAAAGTGCATTTGTCGGCCAAAACCAAATCTGATATTTTCAAACACGTTTCCACAATGTTTTGATGTGGGTCACAAACCATCATTTTATTATTTCACTGTCAAGCATCAGCGCAATGAATGTGTGCCGTTCGTTGTGTTGGAAAAAACTCAATTGGTGTGGCATTTTTTAAATTAATGTAAAATTATAACAACTTTAATCGGAATATTAAGAATTAATTATAACAAGTGGTTTTGTGAATATCGGTTTGCCCCCATAGTTTTTGACTTTTTTTCTAAAATTTGCTAATTTTTCAGGCAAACATTATAATAGTGTCAAGTTTTCATGTTGTGTCTAAAGTAAAATGTCTACAAGTGGTTTTAGTTGTCGTTATTCTTTTTACAAAAACGTTGTTTGTTTGACTCCTTACAAAACTTTTTGGTAAAAAAGCAAACAAAATATCAAATAAATGGTAGTAATAATACGTGTATGCCGAAAAAAGGGACACAAAAACAAAGTTATAAAACTCGGCATATTGAATATTAGTGGAAAGAAACATCTAATACACAATATGGAAGATGTTTCCTACTGGTTTTATTTCTTAAGTGGGTGGATAAATTGAATAATAAATGCAAACATAAAAAACTGGTAAAGATTTATCATTAGAATATTAAGTAAAATGTTCACAAGTGGTTTTTATTGCCGGGTTGATAGTTCTGCCAAAATGCATTTTGGAAATGATTTACTTTTATACTCTAATTGGTTAAAATAATCAATAATATTATTATGTAAATTGTAGCAATAGTTTTAATTTGCCTCGAGTTGATAATTTGATAAAACAAAAAATGAAAATAATTATATTGATATTAACAGATTATTTAATTGTTAAATATCGGGAAATTAGGATAAAAAAAAGCAAAAACCATTAAAAATGATGATAAAACACAACCAATAAACAAAAAATTAATAAAGTAGTAAAATAGTTACTGGATAACTATATTTACAATAAATTAATGAAATATAATATTTATCAATAATGATTATGAACACACAATAAAACATTTTATTTCATTATCATTAATTTAACGGGTTTTAATCATAATTGGTAAAATAATAGTTTAATCAACATTATAAAAGAACCATATGGTTAAAAAGGCAACTTGTTGTCTATTTTTTTATCACGAAGATATCAATTGTGTTTGACCCTAATTAACGATCTTAATTGTTTATTCAATGTCTTTACCTGAACGAGGACGTTTTTGCAAATCAAACGAACAAAAAATTGAAACAAAGAAAATGATGAAACCACTTGCCTTTAACTCGACTAAAGTTCTCCCACTCCTCAAAAATAATCAAATTTTAACATCCATTTTAATTAAACTGGATTCCGATTTAAAAACCATTTCTTTTAAAACTTTTCGTGAACAGGTGGCCTTTTGTTATGACAGCGTTTCCAAACAATGGCAAAAAGATTTTCATAAACAAATGTTCCCTTATAACTTTTCTCGAAAAATGTTTTGGTACATTTGATAAACATAGCGTTCAAACGCAAATGTTAGCCATAAAACGTGAACGTATTACTGGTATTGTACCAGTTAAAGGAAGAAAGAGAGATTTTACCGACGACTAACTCAGATAAATAGAAGGACTTGTTGTCGAAAAAAAGTAATAAAATCGGAAGAATTGGGATTTTATTTAGAAAAGAAGTATGAAATAAATTTTGAAACACAAAAGTTACACAAAAAATGAGTAAAATTGAAGGTATTAAGAAGGTGATTGCCCCAAAAATGGAAGCGGAAAGGGCGAGAGTTGATTTTCTTGAAGTTAAAAAATGGATGACAAGTTTGAAGGAAAAACTTGACGGAAAGAAAGTCGAACCCATCTTTAACCTTGATGAAATTGGGTTTTCTGATTGGGTGGACTCTAAGTCAAAAATGGTGTATGCTTCAATACAAGCTGGTTCTGCTGTCTACAACGAAGCAGAAAGATCCGACAAAAGAATTAGCATGCTTTGTTGTATTTGCCTTGATGGCACACAACTGCCACCACTTGTTGTAACAAAGAGAGTGTCAATCAGTGACACTTTGGTTGCCTCCATCAAAAGTCGAGCTTTGGTCTGTTCTCAACCAAGTGACTTTCTTAATGCCCGTCTTTTCGAAAAGTGGGTTTACGAGATCTTAGTTCCGTCCATTAAATCAAAGAAAGGAAAATTGGGGTTAAGAATAGATACAAAGTCTTTCTTAATTATGGATGGATTTTCAGGACATTTCAGTGAAGAAGTCACTTGTTTGTTTTCACAAAATTACGTTGATGTTATTCCTCTTGTTCCCCACACATCTCACCTTACACAGCCTTTGGAATTGGGAATTTTTGGGATTCAAAAACGATTCCTCCAAAACAAAAATAATTTGTTGGAGCATAAATTCCAAATCAAAGAATGGAAACCTTCTAAAAATCCAAAGAATGTTCTTTCTATTGGCAATGATGATTTTAAAAACGAATTTAAAAAATTCACGAGGTTAGATGAAGAAGAAAAAATAATTAATTTGGTCCATTCATGGGAAGTTGTCGGGAATGGGGACAATATCACAAGTGCATTTGGGCAAGTTGGAATTATTATTGTTCCAAAAATAGATATCAAAGAGAGTCAAAGTCCTTATGCAACCCCAGCCGACAGAATTATTGGTGTTGCATTGGTAAAAATAGAAAAGGCAAGAGAAGTTATGAAGTTTCTCGGTGAAGAAAAAACACAGACAACACTTCTAAAAAAAACAAAAAGGATGTCAATTGAAATGCCCGATGTCAAGATAAACAGGGTTGAGAAGAAGAAAAAAAGACAACAAAAATAATAAATTTTTGGTTGGTTATTTAGTTTAAAACTAAAAAGAAACATTAATAATAACAAAACTAAAAATAAAGTATAGTATTTAGTTAAGGGTTGAACTTTAGAGTTGGAACTTTTAATTAATAATTAGCTTAATTGAGTATTGTTTCAATTGGTGCCAAAAGTTATCAGAAAAGATGGTGTTATTTGTTGATCTGATTGTTGTATTTATGATTATGTTTAAATTGAAAACAGTTTGTTCTTCGTTTTCATTCAAGTTTAATTTATCTTCAATAATATAAATCACAATTCGAATCGTTGATTTAGGTTGCTATAACTTATCTGTAGTTGTGTATTAAACGGAAACAAGTGATTATAGGCTTGTTTCTGTAAAAATGTCTGGTGTTAACACTCGCGTTGTGTTTCTGCTGAACTATAAAAATGTTGTCGACTCCATTATTATTTGTTAACCTCGATCTTCAATAACTGTTTTATGACCATTGACTTTATGCCTGTCAGTTTGGGATTGCTAAAAAAGCAATTACATCAAAGAGGTTTTAACTTCTAAAATAAAATGTTGAAACCCATTCAGTACAGAACTGTTGATATTGTTTTGTTTGTTCTGAACAAATGTCCGCTTTTGAAGAAACAAAAACAATAATAAATTCCCACTTTTGGGACTTTTGACTGTGTTTGTTATTG